ATTTTTAAAATACTTATAAAGCCTCAGTTTCTAATACTTGTTTCCATATTTGTATTATGGCAAATATCAATAGCTACAGCCCACACAAATAAAAATTTCTAAAATCCTCAGTAATTTTTAAGAGTATAGAAGGATCGTGAGAGCAAAACCTTTGAGAACTGCTGATAGAGATCACCCATTCCTGACTCCCGGGTCTTGGGACTTGTTTCCAACAGAATACAGAATTATAAAACCTTAACACAAAATAAAAAACAAAACAGCTGAAAAAGAGATAAGACAGTTGGCACCATGAGGTAAAGAGAGAATAAAACCCTTTCCTTTCCTTCAAAATAATGTTCCTTAAAAGGCTAGGTAAGCAGTCCTGCCAGGAGAGGCTGGGTTCACATCCGCAGCCCCTCCCTACTGCCACCTGCAGGAAAAGAAAAACTGGACACAGGATAGTGTGGGAGTTCAGGCATCTCCCACGTTCAGTATCTGTTTGATACCCCGCCAATAAAGTTAGGTAGGTTGGGCCATTTTTTATTAGTCACTATTTACAGAAGAGGAAACAGAAGTCTGTGCCTTGTCTAATACCAGTAAATAAAAAACAGGTTGGGATTAGTGGCCTCAAGGTTGTAATCCAGGGTTTCCCCCACTGGGCAATTGCTCTAAAATGTCTCTCATCCCCTCAAGCCTAGAAGTCCACCATTAAAGAATTATTATTTTACTTGCAAGTAAGGTCTTTTTCTTATGTTTATAAAACACATAGATTTCTTTTTTTAATCTTTTGTCTAATCTTTTAGGTAATTAGTCTTTGTATAACAGTTTGTGAGAGAAAATGACCCTTTATATTATTTACCAATTACAAAACTAGTTTAAAAATAATTAAGAAGTAAAAGTCAATGAAAGAGAAGACAAAGAAACAATAGAGATGATGATATAAAAGTTGGTTCTTAAAAAAGGAAAATAGAACTCTGACAAAACTAATGAAAAAAAGGCATGAAACATTAGAAAAGTGATACTAGGAATGAAAAAGGGAAGATTAATACAGTAGACATATGAAAACAAAAGAAAAATTTATTCTAATAATTAAAAAAAATTTTTTACCACTTGACCCAGTAATTCCACTCCTAGGAATTTACCCAAAGAAAACAAGATCCCTGATTCAAAAGACATATGCACCCCTATGTTTATTACAGCACTAGTTACAATAGCCAAAATATGGAAGCAACCTAAGTGTCCATTGGTAGATGAATGGATAAAGAAGATGTGGTATATACACACAATGGAGTATTATTCAGCCATAAGAAGAAACCAAATCTTACCATTTGTAACATGGATGGAGCTAGAGGGTATTATGCTCAATGAAATAAGCCAGGGGGAGAGGTGGAGAAAGACAAGTACCAAATGATTTCACTAGTTTGTGGAGTATAATTACACAGCAAAACTCAAAGAATGAAACAGCAGCAGACTCACAGACTCCAAGAAGGGACTAGCAGTTACCTGCTAAAGGGAAGGGGGTAGGGAGGGAGGAAGAAGGGGATTAAGGGGCATTATAATTAGCACTCCCAACATAGGTAGGTCACAGGGAAGGCCGCACAGCAAGGGGAAGACAAGTAATGACTCCATAGCATCCTACTATGCTGATGGACAGTGACTACATTGGAGGGGGGACTTGATAATATGGCTGGACGCTGAAACCACAATGTGTTCATGTGAAACCATCGTAAGATTGTATATCAATGATACTTTAAACAAAATTTTGTGAGCAAAATTTTCAAATTACCAAAATTGACTAGAAAAGGAGAATAGTTTTAGTAATACTTACAGTAGTAGTAGAAGCAGTATTTTGGGGTCTCCTCTTAAAATATAAACCCTCCAGGATAGTAAGTGCTAACGAGTTTGTTCCACAGTTGTCTTTGGTGACAAAAGAAATGGGTCTTTGGACCTTAGGCCTGTCTGGTTGGAAGGAAAGAGGGTACAGAGAGGGGCTGGCACTGCCTCTTAGTTAGCAACCCCATTCAGCCTGGAGTCAGATTACCCTAAGGCTGTACCAGACTGCCAAGAGGTCTCCTGTTTGCTTCCTCAAGACTCAGCACCTCAAACAAGACAGTCTGCCAGGCCCATCCGTCTCAGCTGGGCCCAGAGACACCCCTGTCAATCTGGCTCTGCCCACCCCCAAGGTTCAGCCTACAACACACTCCTTCCTTCCCTCCCTTCCTTTTTTCCTCCCCTCCTCACCTGTACTCTCTCTCCTTCCTCTTCCCTCTTCTTCCCTCTCCCTGCTTTCCCTCCCCCATCTTCTGTTGGAAGACAAAGAGTAGCTCCAGGTGTGGCTGCTGTCTTATCAGTTACTACACCACCTCTCCCCACATCCTACCCTCTCCAGACTCCCAATGCCTGATACTTCTGACCAGAGGTACAGCAAATAGGTGGAGTCCTCAGGCCTAACCCTCAGCCTGTCTTGGCCCATTCTCCAAACTAATTTCTGAGTCTGATGTCAAAATGTGGCAGAGAAGGGGGTCTACAGGGTGTGATGATGTGTGCAGTAAAGGGAAATAGTTATCTAGCTCTGAGACTTACTACTGGAGTTAATGCAAGAGATCTAATGCAAGAAACCTTGCACTGTCTATGGCCCAAATGAATATTCCACATACATTATCACTGTGTCTCAAATTTTTTCATACAGTTGGATGACTAAATATTATACCTATTTGAATGTTATTGTCCATACCAGCTTGTGACCACTAGTATTATCTCAAGCCACAGACACTGGATGCACTACCACCGTAACATGTGTGCACATATGTGTGTACTGGGGGTGCAAGTCCATTACATATTTTAATGTAGAAAGGGTGATCACCTTCAGGAACAGAATGGGGATGAGCTGTGTACTCAACACTGCTGTGGTCAAGTTGTGACGTCTCCTTATGGTCTTATTCATGAGGATAAGAGCAGGAAGGAGGTCACAGAGAGTGCTGAGGTTAGGTAATAAAAAGGGTTCCTTTGTGGACCTTGCTAATGACTTAGTCCTGGATTCACTCTAGCCCCTAGCAGCCCTGAAGGCATGTGCTTCAGTGGACTCTTTACCTTACTCAAAGCCTCAGGGGTGGGATGGGATGTGGAGAGCAGATACTTACTTCGAGTGAGTGTCCAAGTTCTGCTGACCACCTGGTCTGGAAGGCCACCCTGTTCAACAACAGAAAACTGACTTTGCGGTGACACTGACCACACCTAAGAACAGGCCACTTGGCTAGGCACATTTGCGTGCATTAATGGGCACAAATTAATTAATAGTGGGTTAGAAGAATTAAAATCTGGGCTATACTGGATGTTTGGCAATCTTTCTAAAGTCAGCCTCTGGTGAGAATTTGACCAGGAAACCAGCACCACTGAACTAAAAACCTAGCAGAGTAAGAAAAGAGGTGCCATGTCACAGGCACTTCCCAGGCCAGGTTGGTATCATGATTTGAAAGGCCCTAATGAAGGTCCCCAGATTCTCCCATCTAGTGAAATGATGCCTAAAATCCTCAAATTAGAGCTCTCTTCTTTTCACTGCAGTCCCACTAGTTTAAGCAGTGCTAGGTGAAGCTTGGTGGAGCTGAGACCAGTATTATTCTAGATGTTGGCATTCTTCCCACCTCAGTGTACATGAAGGCTCTGAGAATGCAGTGTGACGGGGTAAGTATGGAAAGGGACAAAATTAACAATGAGGAGACAACTTCCTAATATTGCCTGAGACTTATTGTATTGGTGATCTAAACTCTCAGGTCTCTCTACCTAATTCCACCAAACCTATTTGGGGTCAATCTTTGGAAACAGTAAACTGCTTCTTCAAAGTACGCCACTCCCTGCCACTTGGGACCTACAAAGTAGGGTCCTTTGAGCATGGGCTCTACACAGGTTCAAGGGCTACAAGTGATTAAATCTCCCTCTGGATATTCAGGATGGGAGTGGAGGGGCCTTGGGGTTAATACAGTAGGAAGCTTGGTATATTTTTATGTGCTCTGTCAGGCCACTGGAAGTCCTCCTTCCAAAAATATTCCCCCTGCTCCAGACCTACCTAGCACCTAAAATTTCAATTTTAGAGGATTCTTGAAATTACTCAATAGGTATCTAGAAAAACAAAGATGTCTTAACTTGGGGGAGGGGTGGTGGATTAGTGAGAATACACACAAAATAAACAAGTGGTAGCCCTGGATGAGGGGTTTAGATGTGATAATCCAGTGTGAAGAGATGCAGGTGTGAGGAAGGGACAGGAAGTATCTTTATTAAAGCTGCGTTTTCACAGTAAATAAATGGTTTTTAATTACACTGAATATTTTTGGGAGGTGGCTTTGGCAAGGGACTGATATAAATTTGGGATGTAAAGACTTCTCAGTAAGCCACCCTTTCACTCTACCAACTACAAAAAGAAAAACAAAATGAGCCCCAAGACCTTGCAAATCAAGACACAGTAGTCCCGCACTTGAGAGGGGCAACTGTGACAACATCAGATTCAATCCCCTCCCACTTAGTCATTTTGCTGGTCAGAAAAAGGCAAAGATCCCCAGATGGAGGTGAAGAGTATCCACAAGGGTTTTTAGTCCTCAGAATGCTCTGCAGGGCCCCCCTCCCTGGAGGAGGCTGAGAAAGAGAGGGCAGTCCCCTGGGCCAAGAATGCAGGAGAAGGGCAGAGTAAATCGTGGGCTGGTTTGTCCAGTCATATGATGCAAACGCATTGCTTCTGGTCACGTAATCACTTTTTCCCTCCACCTCTGGTCTCTCCTCCTCCTCCTCCTGTCCCCTCCCTCTGCTCTATTTTGATTTGGTTAAAATAGATGCAAACTCTGGTCTTTTCTATTTTTAATACTCAGCCATTACATAATCCACACCGTAATTGCTGACTTGAAAAACTATTGGCAACAGTAGAAAATCCCCAGAGTTTTAAACAGGAAAAGGATTATTACGGCACAAAAGCCTTTGGCAGTTTTACTGACTGGTAAACCATCTGTAATCGTCACTCGCCAGTGGCAGTCACATGGATCCTGGGAAACACTCTGCCCCTCTCCTGGAAAGCAGGCTGGGGGAAGGGATGAACCTTAGCCTCAGCAGGGAGAAGGAGGCTTTGTGTGTTGAGGGAGGTTCTGGGGTGGTGTGCTTAGAGCTCCCGCTGCGCCCAGAGGGCTAAGGAGTGAGCGTTAGGCTACCCCTCCTCCCCAGGCCACCTTTTACGCTTTTTTTTCTTGCTAGAGAGTAAAGACTCCAGCTGCCAGGACATTCCCTTATCAACTTCCTGGGCCTTCCCACAGCCTCCAACAACATTCCCAAGAGAGCTTGAATGAGCATGGACTATCCCATTTAAACCAATGATTTTATAAAGGTACAGGAGCAAGGAAGATGGCTTGTTAATCACAGAGACCTGACCCACTCCTGTGCAAAGCTTTCCACATATTACATTATATATTAGGCCTATTAGCACACTATTTAACTCTTCCATTAAATTATCCAATAAAAATAGAAGAACTAGAGGTTTGGTGAAGGAGAACAGATTGTCACCACAAAATATGTCCCTTTGGCAAAAGGATCATTTTGAGTTGAAGGCAATCAAAACCCAAGCAGATTCAGGAAAAGCTGTTTACATCCCTCTCAACTGCCTAAATTTACACTGGAAAGGGGGCCTGTACCAGGAAGAGAGGTATTACCAGAGATACCTTTTTACCTAAGAAACTTATCTGCTAAAAAGGGAAACCTTTGTTTCCCAAACATTTCTTCTGCCTTCTTGTGAATGGCCTATCTCCCCTTTGTAGACCCTACCCTTTCCTTAGCTCAGGATGTTATATAGATCTCAATTACCTGGCTGCTGTTGGGTCTCATATTTTTATCAGGCTCCTGTATGTGTGAAATTTGTTTTTCTCCCATTAATCTGTCTTACGTCAATTTAATTATTAGACCAGCCAAATAATACGGAACTGAAGAAGGGAAATTTTTTTCGGCCCCAACAGTTGGCGACAATGAAGGAAGCTTCATTGGCTGGACATTGCTCCTTTCAGGACTGCTGCAGCTGAGAGATCCTGGCCCTCTGACAAATGCTGGCAGAAGGTAAGAATTCTTACCATGTCAGTCTCCAAAATCTCTGCCTGTCGGGTCTGATGGAAATGACAGTGGTAAGTGTCCTTTTCTTCTTCTAAATTTAGATTAGCAGGACAGAGTAGTTGGGTGAACTAGTTCACTGGGTATAGACACTTTGGTAAAAATTCGTTATGAGTACTCTTGTTTTCTACTGATCCCTTTCCTCCTAGAGATGGCCACTGTTTTGTGTCTGTCTTTTGTGTTGTTTGTCACAAGGAGGAAAACTGTAGATGGGTATAACACAGGCATAGGTCCTAATGTTAGGCAGGAAAATAGATATGAGTGGGGTAGAAAGAGAATAAGGTCAGTAAAGCCCATTAGAAAGGACTCAGTTAATCAGTTAAAACTAGAAAGCCAGAAAACAGTTAATCAGTTAATCAGTTAAAGCTCAAAAAGTCAGGAGCAACTTGGCCTTGAATGTATGAACATTCCCCAGAAAGGAAAAGTATCTGAGCACAGCCCACGTCTTCATTGTGTCAATCAGATCATGCTATTGTAAGATTTACTCTAGTCTGCTAAAAGGCCCACCTATAAACAGCATAATAAAGACAGGGAGATTCCATCTTAAAGCTAAAATTGCATTTTTAAAAACCCAAGAAATTAAGAAGTAAGATTCTTAACATACTTTTTAGCAAACAGACAACTCAGCCCACGTTGGAGGAAGGGCAGGAACTCCTGATTGATATGATCCCAGACCAGGAAGCTGCTATCCTGGGAGGGTACGGGAACAGTAAAGTTCTTGTGTTAAGCTAATTTTACAGAATTACCTGGAGGACTGAGACCACTTAACAAGTCCACACCTGTAGCCCTTTGTCACATTCCTGAAAGATCCTTAAAAGAGGGACCCCTCAACTTTCAGTGCGCTCCTCTCTCTGAGGTCGCCTGCACTTTCTGAGTGCGTGACTTAAACTTTTCCCGACCTTTCAGGGCGCTCCTCTCTGAGGTCACCTGCACTTTTAACATTTACTTTGCTTCACTGCTGTGTCTCTGCCCTTCAGTTCTTTGTCACAGTGGGGACAAGAACCAAGGAAAATACACAATGCACCCCTCACATATTTGGTGCCATGCCTCAGATGGATTTCCATCCCCATTAAGCTGACCCCACCTCTCACACCAACACTATGAGCTACCATTCGAGCCAGCCTCACTGACTGGTAAGGTCACAGTTCTCACTAGACTAGCATCTGTTTAGATAAACTTTGCTATGAGTTAATGAGGTGAAAGCTATTATTAATAGGGATCCGGGAAGCAAAAAGCCCCAAACTGGTGGACCCGGGTTGAGCACTTAAAAGCTGTCAGACTACCTAACTCACTCACCATCTAATTCTTGCAACTTTCACATTAGGTAAGTGGGTCACAGAACAGGTTAGATGGACATGAGATTGCCCACCAAACTCAAGAAAATGTAAATACAATGAGGTACGCTGTGAAACACCACACAACTCCCAATGGAGCAGCCCAGGCCTCTCAAGTATTAATTGGGTTCCAAAGTATGCAGGGCTTAGCTAAAGTTATTAATGTGCACATGGCGTAAAAAACAAACACACAAAAAACAGGTTTTCCTCATCTTGTTCTATGATTTAAGAGCTTGGCTTTAAGACCAGTAAGAATATTCTCTCTGGTCTCCATCAGCTGGACGATGCCTGTACTGGTTTGTATAGCAGACAGAAAGGCTGTAGATGTGATAAGCAGATTCTCTTTGTCTGACTCTGCTAGCTCTCCAGGGACTTTGTCATTAAGGGATCCCGACCGGTTCACAAACAGCCTCTACTGTCTCAACCTTCATTGTCTTGTTAGTCTTGTGGGAAACTAGGGACTCTGTTTCCACTAATTTGGCTGGACATAAACATGGGTTACACCCCGCTTTTGGCTACATCTTTCTTAGGCTAACTTTGGGAGTGAAGTTTCTAGATCTTGTGAGGCCTGCATCTTTCACGTTCTTTGGGGATACCTCTTGTGTCCACAGTTAAGCCATAAAAAGGCTTATTGGTTTGAATTGCTATAGATTAATATAAGATCGTTCTCATCAATAGCCATACAATGGTTCCTTTCAATTGGCTATATTTAATTTTTTTTTTCTAGAGAGCTCTACTCCTAAATAATTGTCTCATTGGTACCTATGGAAAGGCCAAGTTTTAAAAAGTGGATAAAAGGAGTATAACAGCCATAGGGACTCCCTTAATATGATGAAAAAATAAGCAATAAGATTGTAGGACAAAAATTAAAGCCCACATCTAACATAAATACCCCTTCTCTTCCTTCTTCTCTACCCCTCTATTCCCAACATCCTGTCCCTGACCCTACAGAAGATAATTTGGATATTCAGGCCCCTTGTTTAAATCACCCCAGAGTATCTCCCAGGTTCTCCTACAAATAAACAGGAAATGGGTTACCTGAAGGCCAATGTTCAGGAGCTAATAGAAACAATACTAGAGGTTTTCCCCCTAAGATAAACTGGCAAGGCTGATCGTGCACTTAGAAAGAAGGACTTTGTTAGGCTTTAGACAGGCTTTTTAAAGGCATATTACATTAAACCAGGAAGTTCTAGCATTGGGGGAGAGGCGTTGTGTGTTTTCCTCAGTTCTTGTCCCTGCCGCAACAAAGAATTGAAGGGCAGAGACACAGTAGTGAAGCAGAGTAAAAGTTTTATTAGAAACTGCAGGTGACCTCAGAGAGAGGGGCACACTGAAAGGTTGGGGGTTCCCCCTTTTCAGGATTTTTCAGGAATGTGGGCTATGGGTGTGGACTTGTTAAGTGGTCTCAAGTACCTTTGATGAGACATTAAGTTTCTCATCAGTCCTCTAGGTAATTCTGTAAAATTAGCTTAACACAAGAACTTTACTGCTCTGGTCCCCTCCCAGGCTAGCAGCTTCCTGGTTTGGGAGCATATCAATCAAGACTGTCTGCCCTTCCTTCAAGGTGGGCAGAGTTATTTGTTGTTTGCTAAAGAGTATGTTAAGAATCCTTCTTAACTTCTTGGGTTTTTTCTAAATGCAATTTTGGCTTTAAGGTGGGATCTCCCTGTCTTTATTATGCTATTTATAGGTGGGCTTTTTAGCAGACTAGAGTAAATCTTACAATGATCTAATTGACACAATGAAGACATGGGCTGTGCTCAGATTCTTCTATTTGGGGAATATTCAAACATTCAAGGCCAAGTTGCTCTTGACTTTTTGAGCTTAACTGATTAACTCATTAACTCAGTCTTTTCTGGATTTCTAGTTTTAACTGGTTAACTGAGTCCTTTCTAGGGGGCTTTACTGACCCTCTTCTCTTCCCACCCCGCTCATATCTATTTTCCTGCCTAACACTTGAATGCAGAAATCTTTTGATTTCCATCTTAGTTGGAAATCTCGCTGATACAAAGAAGCAAGTTTATAGTTGGGTGGGCTAGTCAGTCTCGACATTCAAGCTATAACCCAATTCTTTGAGGAATTGGAAACAACTCTTTGTCTTGAAAAATCTCTACAAAACAAGAAATGTGGCTCTAGAAGTATTCAAAGCTCACCTATCCTTACTGTAAGGTTGGAGGCACCAGAAGGAGGGGTGAGCACGGCAGACACTGATGACGTGCCAAAGTCCCCGGCTGCTGCCCCCTCCCAACCTGAAAAATGTGCCTTAGGCTAGCCAATCCTCGTGCCACTGTAAGTCTAAACTCTCCCTTCCCCTACCTTCTTAAAAAACTCCGCTGCCTGCCCTGCTGAGCGTGACTTCCCAGCCAGGCTGGGAAACATCACCCGGGATTGCACTCAAATAAACTGCCTGGCCCTTTGTTGCCTCTTGTCGCCTGCTTATTTTGATTAGAATTTATCTTACATTTGGTGCCGAAAAAACCCGGGAAGGAGCGTGAGCGCAGGGCCCCGACCAGCCACCGGTGGCTCCGCCCCTTCCTTCCCCAACCTGGGACCTCAGTATGCTCTCCGCTGTGTGGACTATTTTCCGGCGAGTCCCTCAGTTTCCCCTGGTCTGTTTCCCTTCCTAACCCGTTTTCACCTGGTCCGTTCGAAATCGTAGCTATGTCCAGGTTAGGGCATCCGGCCTGCCCCTGGCCCTGTGGTGGGGGAAACGTCCCTCACTCAGGCTCCGAGGACGTCTCCCCTGACTTGGCGCACTTGGGACACTGGGCGCTCCTCTCAGCCGGATTAGGTGGGGAGTGGCGCAGACATGGGGAACCAGCCCTCGAAAGCAGAGGCTCAGACCCCGCTGCAGTGTCTTATTTCTAATTTGGCTACTCTATATTTTTCCCAGGAAGTTTACAAACGGAAGCTAGTCTTTCTTTGCTCTGAGGCTGCCTCAGTATCCCTTGGACAATCAATCTTGCTGGCCCTCTGAGGGAACTTTCAATTTTAGCCTCCTCACCAATGACTAATTATTGCCACCGGAGCGGAGAGTCAGGTGAAATCCCATATGTGCAGGCTTTTTGGACTTTGCACTCTCACCCAAACCTTTATGTTAAGTGTTCAATGACTCAGGTTCTCCTGGCTCCATCTCCAGTTAAAGATTGTCAGGCTCTTACTCTACCCAGTCCTTCTTCCTTTTCAGATCTGCCAGAGGACCTTAGTCTCCCACCTCTCTCAGCTCACTACCCCCACCCCTCTCCACCACCATCTTTAAGTTCTTTGTCCTCCCCCACATCGCTGCCATCTTCAGGTCCTTTGTTCCCAGCCATGCCGCCTTCCTGCTCCTCTCCTCAAGAGGCTGCACCATCCCCTCCCACTCTCCTTCCACCTTCACCACCCTCTTCCCCCACAGGAACACGCTCCTCCCGCCCTCCGGTTCCGGAAGCCACGGACAAGAAGCTAAAAAAAGGAAAGGCAATTGGACATTAGTAACTCAAATCTCTGTGTCAGTTTATCTGTGTATATGTTCTTTTATGAAAAGTGTTGCTAACTGTAGTCATTATGTCTCATCTGTATGTTTGTGTGTCTAAGTGTGTAAATGAAAAATATTTTCCTAACTCTGGATGGTATTAATAAAAATTGACTTAAAAACAACACTTGTGAAAATTGGGCATTCTAAAACTTCCAGAAAATCTAATAAAAAATATTAAGCATTAATGCTAATTTAAGTTGAACTGAAATGGACATGTCCTTACGGTTATCAGCTGCCTGAGTTTACCTAAAGTCATTTAAGTTGATGTTATCTGCTAAACCTTTCAAGAATAAAATGCTTAGAGGCTTGACTTTATCTAATATTCAGTAAAGGTTCTGTAAGTAGTCTAGCATAGTTGTTAAGAATGAGTAAATTAAACATAGCAAGTGAATTTCTTAATAATAATTGTGTGTTACAGTGTGTATACCTACCTACAGCCTGAGAATCTTTGTGGTAACCTAAAACTTTAAAGTTTTGCTAAATTAAGAAGATACACTTTGAGCTTAGAGATTATGCTGTAAAGCTCATAGTTACAGAGATTAGAAAATGTGTTCATAAATTTGTTAATCTAAAGAATGTTAGTTTAACAGTTTACAATAGCCTACTTCTCAGTGTTCACTGAAAATTAAAGTTCCTAATAATTTTAAGGTCTAATTAAAGCTACTTAAAGAAGAAAACACCTCTACTTGCTAAAAAAATGTGTGTTTTAATAAGAAAAAGTATTAAGAACGGAAATTCGTTTTGTTGAAAGTAAAAGAAGGTAATTGTTCTAAAGTACAGCTATTTATTTAAATAGAGAGAACACTGAATGTAAAAAGAAAGTTGTAGAAAGCTTGTAGAAATATTTAATATAGTCATGCTATATAAAATTAAAGCAAATGAGTCTCGGTATCAAGTACACAGCAAAATTAGAATTTTATTTTCAGTTAAAAAACTAGGTTTTCTTAACTGTTAATCTGCTCTTTCTGTTGAAAGGTTGCAGAGTTCTCTATTTTATCAAAACAGTTTCTCATGCTTAAAGTCTCAATGAGTTGTCCGAGTATTTAAGAAAATGAGATCTTAATATTAAAAGGACTAAAAGCTAAACTATGCTAACAACTATGTAACCTTCTTTATTTGCCTTTGAGGTATTTTGTTGTCATTCTGGTTAAATAGATAATTATTGCTTCATGGCAACCTATAATCCTATTTAAGCAAGTGCAAAAAAAAAAATGCAAAAATGTGCTTTTACCTCTAGTTAACTCTGATGTTTTCCAGAGAGCCCCTGGAACATATCAGAGGAATTTTTTTCTCATTGGAGAAAATAGTTGACTAATTTGGCTTATTTATCTGATATATATTTACCTAGAAAACACTATCAAAAGGAATGATACTAAACTTTGTTACTGAATGTTTTCTGAATTTTATTGAATGTGTTACAGAAATATCCAAATTTCCTTATGACAACTGTCTTACAGTAAGCTCTCATCAGATATTTAACCATTGTCATTTGTAAGTCTTTTGTCATCTATACTCACTGTTTTATTACTCCTAAACTAGTAAAAAAAAACTAGATTTCAACAGAACAGGTATTAGGTACATAGGACTAAGTAAACTAAGGAAGATGATTTTGTGGATTTTTGTTTCAAATGTTGTTGATAAAGTGTTTTAAGCTTTTTCTCTTAAGCTGACAACAGTTTAGTAAATGACTGCCTTTATAAGCAGAATTGAAACTTTATCTTTCTCTCTACCTGATCCCTCCAGAATTAAAAACCTCTCAGTGACTATTTTTATATTTCATGGTAGTATGTTTATTTGCACAAGTTCAATAAGAATCTACTTTCTTTGTAAAAAGACCAATTAAAAACACTGATTATATTACCAAGGCTGACTAGAACGTCATACCTGAGAGACACGTGTGTAAACTCAGATATGAACAGACAGCTTTAAAGAACTAAGATTGACTTTATAAAGCCAACAAAGCCCCTTAGAAGAAATGGCCTGGTACCTTGCTTACAGAGTTCCCAGAAGCCTTACCAGGTGAATAAAGAAGGTCACTTCCTGGCAAGTGCAAGAACATCAAGAAGAGAGGAATTCACCCAAATGTACAGGTACTGAAGGCACAACCTAATGGCAAGTCTGGCTTAGCTGTCTGGCCTCGAGAAGCCTTTAAAAGTTCAATCTGAAATTCCTTACAAAAAGTTCCAGCAAAGCACATTTTAAAAATCCCATGTAATCAATTACTCTTCTTGCTGCACTTATGTAAATAATCAAGCCAACTGTTAATTATTTTCTTAATCTAGCTACTTCTAATAAAAATAAAGGTGATTTTAGAGAAAAGTATTGTTTCAATAATGCAGTCTTATCTATACTAAATCCTAATACTAGTCATTGAGATGTAAACTCAATCCAGAATTCTAGTTTCCCCATACCTGGCTATGATTCTCAATTAGACTCTTCATATTTCTAGTTCTCATATTCAGCCATGCATTCTTAATCTCATCAAGTTTGTCCTTCCAGAATAGAAGCGCCAACTTTCCGAGGCCCTCTCAACTGACCAGTGATGAAAACCTAGCTGCACCCTTTACTGCGCCCCCTCTCAGCATGAAGCAGCCAGAGCGGTCGTCACCCTTTTTATCTAGCAGCAGCTAGAGTTTCTATCTGTAGAGGAGAAAATGAGATGGGAACTGTGGGCTTGGACAGGGTGGGATGAGAGCCTCTAGAAAGGGCAGGGCAAGATGTTTGCAGTCAGAGCAATGTAACTACATGCTGAGAAGCCCCCCTGCAATGCCGGAAGTAGCCAAATCGAGTAGTCGCCCATTATAACCAAAAGACTGGAATGTAAGGTTGGAGGCACCGGAGGGAGGGGTGAGCAAGTCGGACACTGATGACGTGCTTAAGTCCCCGGCTGCTGCCCCCTCCCAACCTGAAAAATGTGCCTTAGGCTAGCCAATCCTCACGCTGCTGTAAATCTAAGCTCTGCCTCCCCCTACCTTCTTTAAAAACTCGCTGCCTGCCCTGCTGCATGTGACTTCCCTGGCGTGTAACTAGCCAGACTGGGGAACATCGCCCGGGAATAAACTGCCTGGCCCTTTGTTGCCTCTTGTCACCTGCTTATTTCGGCTAGAATTTATCTTACAATAAGCACTTACAAACTAAGTATTCCTAAAGTTCTCAGAAATACAACAGATACTAACCCAAATGCTTCTTGGGTTAATGTGATCTGGAAAAATATTCAGTATTAAAGCTAGTTTAAATTCATGGGTTTAATTAAAATAGGCATGGCTTTAGAGTTATCAATATTGAAAATATAATGCAAACATACAACTTTCCTCATAAATTAAGTTCATGTTAAATCTTAAAAAATTTGTCAGCAATAAAAGTTTTGGATGATGGCTGACATTGTCTAATGTCACATTAAGTTTTCATGAGTAGTCTAAACATAATCATTGGGAACACTATCTAAAATGATTTAAACAGACAAGAGATAAGAATTTTTAGGTGAACTGTTTAGCAATAATTACACTTTATGTGAATGTGTATTTAAAAATAGTTTCACAAATCTGTTAACTCTAAACTTTAGAGTTTTACAAAGTTAAATTATGGAAATATCATGAATATCTAGATCATTTCCAAATAAGATAAAATAGTGAAACACTAATTACTAAATTTATGCTTATCTACTTCTAATTCCTATTGCATAGAAACCAAAAATAAATTTGGGTCTATTAGGAAACATGTCTTGTGCCACATCAAAAGACTGTACTATTAAGAAGCACATATGCTTCTAGAAATTATGAAATATATTCATAAATTTGTCAACCTAAAAGAATACTGGCATAACAGTTCTCAATTGCTTATTATTTCATTTTCACTAGAAATTAAAGTTTAAGGGCTAAGAATTCTAATACATGTAATTAAAAGCTATTCGAAATAATAAAGGAAACAATTCTGCAAGTAAAGTAGGTTGTATTTTGGCTAAGAAAAGGTATCAGGTATGGAGATGCATTTTTGTTAAGGGAAAATAAAGTAAATTTGTTCTAAAGTAAAGTTGGTTATTTCAGAATGGGAAAGGAAAATAGAGGATGAGCTATGGATATATATGGATGGTGAGAGAGAAATTTTACCTTGTGTAACTAAACCTGGCTCAAACTGAATTGTTATGACAAGGGTTTTAAAAATAAGCTTTAATATCAAGGGTCCTTTCGTAAAAGTAACCTCGATTTTTTTTCACCTGCTAAAAGGACAAAGTTTTTCAGTAATCTGCCTAGAAAAGAAAATTTCTATTTTATTTCCTGTGCTTCATTTTATTATCAGGTCTTTGATCACTTAAAATTGAGTCATCTTAATATTGAAGAGCTAAGTTTTGCTTACAACTATGTAACTTCTGTATTGGCCCTTGAAATCCCTTATTGTCACTTTGGTTCGATAGATAATGAAGTATTGTTTGCTAATGATCTGTGATCCTATGTAGTCAAGCATCCAATCTTCTCGATATTTTTGACAATGATCAAGTTTCATTCTGCATGCATCTATCTAGTTTTCCCAGAATCATTTATTAAAGAGAATGCCTTTCCCCACTGTATATTCTTCCCTCCTTTGTCATATATTAATTGACCACATAGACATGGGTTTATTTCTGGGCTCTCTATTGGTCTACATATCTGTTTATGTGGTGGTACCATACTGTTCTGATTACTGTAGGACAGTTTGAAATCAGGGAGTATGATACCTCCAGCTTTGCTCTTCTTTCTCAAGACTGCTTTGGCTATTCAGGGTCTTTTGTGGTTCCATACAAATTTTAGGATTATTTGCTCTAGTTCTGTGAAAATGCCATTGGCATTCTTATAGGGATTGCACTGAATCTGTAGATTGCTTTGGCCAGTATGGACATTTTCACAATATTAATTCTTCCTATCCATGAGCATGGAATATCTTTCCATTTATTTGTCTTCTTCAATTTCTTTCATCAATGTCTTAACAGTTTTCAGAGAACAAGTCTTTCACATTCTTGGTTAGACTTATTCCTAGGTATTTTATTCTTTTTGATGCAATTATAAGTGGGATTGTTTTAATTTCTCTTTCTGCTAGTTCATTATTGGTATATAGAAATGCAACATTTTTGTACATCAATTTTGTTTCCTGCCACTTTCCTGAATTAATTTATTAATTCTAACCATTTTTTGGTAGAATCTTTAGGGTTTTCTATATTTATTATCATGTCATCTGAAAACAGTGACAGTTTTACTTATTCCTTACCAATCTGGAGGCCTTTTCTTTCTTTTTTCTTGTCTGATTACTGTAGCCAGGACTTCTAAGGCTATGTTGAATAAAAGTGGTGAGAGTGGGCATCCTTGTCTTGTTCCCGATCTTAAAGGAAAAATGTTCAGCTTCTCATCATTATGATGTTAGCTGCAGATCTGTCATAGATGGCCTTTATTATGTTGAGATATGTGTCCTCTATACCCAATTTGTTGAGTTTTTATCATGAAGGGATATTGAATTTTATCAAATGCTCTTTTCAGCATCTATTGAGATGATCATATGGTTTTTAATCCTTCAATGGGGTTGCATCACATTTGTTGATTTGAGGATGTTGAATTATCCTTGCATCCCTTGGGTAAGTCCTACTTGATCATGGTGAATGGTCTTTTTAATGTATTTTAAATCTGGTTTGCTAATATTTTGTTGAGGATTTTTGTATGTATGTTCATCAGGGATACTGCTCTGTAATTTTCTTTTTTGTAGTTTCCTTGTTTGGTTTTGGCACCAGGGTGATGCTGACCTTTTAGAATGAATGTGAAGCTTACCTTCCTCTTCAATGTTTTGAAATAGTTTAAGAAGGAGAGGTATCAACTCTTCTTTTAAATGTTCAGTAGTATTCACCTGTGAAGCTATCTGGTCCTTTGTGCCACCACTCTTTATTTTTAGTTATTTATTTTCTTATTAAAGTATCATGATATACAATCTTCTGATGGTTTCACAGACACAAAACAGTGGTTCAACATTCACCCACATTATCAAGCCCTCACCCTCTCCATTGTGGTCACTGTCTATCAATGCTGACAGATGTTATAGAATAATTAATTGTATTCTCCAATGCCACCCCTTTTTAAAATGGAGCTGGGTGCCATCAATTTTGGTTTTAAGTAAGTTTTTATTACACCACTCTGTGCAAACTCTCCAGCTCAGAGAAAAGCATATTACAAGTCCAAAACAACTGCCATATACCCACACTGGGGTCTACAGACACTGAGAATGTGCTTAAAGAGAGGAGTGCTCCTGTCCCAAAGGCTTTGCCTGTCTTTGAAACACAAAGGGATTCATGTCCTTGTGCCACCCTGTGATGGAATTCCTGTTGTTTCCAGGCTGGAGTTCTGTAGCCTCAAACCCCAGTGAAATGGGCAAAACTTAAGTGTCAGCTTCAAAGACTCCTTTCACCCAGGTGGGTGGAAGCCTGAGACCATAATTAAAATCAGCTGTGTGGCTCTCCAACACGGCAAGCACAAATGCAAAGATCTGGTTTCCTCCCAAGACCTAGGCCAGCTCTAAGTCTTATCTTCCTGGGCCACTCAGGTAATTCCCTCCCCTTTCTAAGGGAAAGGAGCAAAAAGGGTGTCCCAAGCAAAAGAGCCCCCAGCCCCTCCCACTGTATCAGAGGCGGGAGGCAGAGAAACTCTGCAAGGCTGTGAATACTAAAAAGGAGCAAATCTTAGGAAAGAAGAATTCTGCTTTGAATTCCATTGTTCATCACACCAAAACTGCTGCTGCAGGAACCACAGCCCTGTAGCCTCCCTCAGGAAGTTCCCTGGAAGGGAGGCCCCTAAATTCTTCTCAGAGGCTAAGATTTATAATTCCAAAGTAAACAAATAGAGAGGAAGAAGGTGAGGATGGTGAAAATATCTTTTACCTTACATATGGGTAAGATAAAAGATGATGTTTCATTCATTAATGTCATTAGAAGAACACAGCCTTATATATTTTTGAACCTATAAGAACTCTAATAAAATCTGAAACATGATGAACACATTCAAAATTAAACAAATAGGAATGTTTCTAAAAATAATGGAATCATC